CCAGCCCTGCTGATGGTTAGGTAGATTTTAATAGTCACCGCCCTCGGCCATCATTGACTGTTCGGCTGTCACTTGCACAGGATCCATATTCCCAATTTCCTTCTACATTATGATATGGGATGTTGGTCCATGTGGATTCTTAGTTGAGGCTAAGGCCTCAATAGTCTGCCTCGGTGAAGAGAGAGGGTGGCCCAGGCCCATGAGCCCTCCAGGTCTCCGAAGTAGTATACTGCCGGCTCAAAGCACGCACTTATATTTTTTTCATACGCGACTCTCTAACCATATCAAGAAGACGAAACCAGGTGTAATATTTCATGGACTACTTGGCTCTAGCTCGTAAAAAAGCAGAATTACGAATAAGCCCCCATCCTTTTTCTGAATATTCTTATAAGTCGGTCGAGTCTTCCGACATAGTCCTCCACATTGATGTTAATTTTTATGTGGAAGACTGAGCTAACCTCATTCGACCGCAGATAATCTGTGGGACCCTCCAAGCCCCGGGCTTTAGAGTAAGAATTTAAACTTTTTATGAAGTAGCCAGAACGTCTTAGTCGGGGGCCCACAGGACGACGAGCTAGGACGACGAGCTGCCATTAATGGCTCCCATGCCGTGGGATCGGATCGTTGACCTTGGAGGGAGGATCTGAACCGTCGGTGTTGCGCGCTCCACCGATCGTTGACCCCGGCAGCCGTTTAACTCAGAGGTGCGTCGACGGATCAGGGCTCGATCAGGGCCAGGCCCCATCCCCATCCAAGCCTGGCCCATTTTCACTCCTCTCTCAACACCCCCGGTGGAAAACCCTAAACTCTATGAAGCCCCAAACCAAACAAGCCCGAGTCTCTCTCTCTCTCTCTCTCTCTCTCTCTCTCTCTCTCTCTCTCTCTCTCCACTCTTGGGGAGGGGGGTCGAGAGGATGATGGAATATTTCTATTTTTCTCTGATTATAATAAGATGGATTACAAGAAAAGAGAAATTAGTACAAGAAAAAGAGAGAACTTAAAGCCGGCGGCGCCCATCTACATCAGGATTCTCTCCGAGCCTGCCATCTCAAAGCCCGACACCCGGCGGGGGGGTTTTTACAGATTTCACCGAAGCGGAATCCGGCTCCTCGGGGGATCTGCCAACTCCGTTGACAAAACAACTTGAAGAATTGTAATTTATCGATAAATAGAAATATTTAATTTTATGGAATGCGCGGATAGCTAGAGCCCATGTTGGATGATGGCTGACCAATGGGGTCAGCTTCGAATTTTCGTCGATACGTGTCCACGCGGCTGTGGCCAAACGGTCCACCAGCCAATTCAGAGCTTTTCTCTCTATTCAGCGTTCCAATCTCCTCCGTCCGACGACGTCCGACGACGTCCGACGACGTCTTTCAGTGAGTCCCTAGTTTATTAAGGGCTCTGAGCTGGTAGCAGAGGCAGAGAAAAGGTTTAGCCATCCTCCCACAAGGCTAGTAGTGCTCGTCAGCGTTAACTTCCCCTGCACCCTCCTCTACTACGCCGCCGGCAACTCCGACTTCCTTCCGCCGTCCAGCAGGAACTCCCCAACTCAACTGGAGCGCGCCTTCTCCTCGCAAGGTCCGAGGATCGATGATTCATCGGGCTCGGTGCCCTCTCTTTCTCCCCCGGCACTCTTATGTTAACTGACCTTCCCGTGTTCGCCATAGCCCCCCGGTACCGTTTATGTTCCTTCGTTTTCTAGGGGCTTCGTCTTGTGATGGATGCGGAGGCGCGTAGCTTCAGAATCAGTGAGTTGTACCCTCAGAAACGTGTAGCTTCATCGTCGCCGCGACATCACTTTTTTGACCGACGGTTCCAAATCAGTGAGTGAGCAGCTTCCTCTTGTTTTTCTCCCGTTAGTTGGAAGTGTTTTTTTCCTCCACAATGCGAAATTTTGTCCTTTTTTCTTTGCAGATGATTGGAAGCAGGCGTGGGAAGCACCCTCCGTTCTATTGTTTTTTTTTGGGTATTTCACACAAAAAAACGAAGTCGGATAAAACTATATCACATAGAAATAATTAGTTTTCCTTCTCACAGCCCTCACTATCCCCGTAAATCTCCTTCATTATTCAGCCGCGAAGAGCAAGTGTTACGTCGGCGAACATAACAGCTTCCTCACTCGTTGCGCTACGTGCGACCTTGGATGCTAGCCCCTCTCCCAAACAGCCTTTATCTCCTCACTAGGGACCTGCGTAAGCTGTTGCTCAAAAGAGAGATTCACTCTAAACCCGAGATATACTCTACCTTACATGGCAGCCACCCATAGAAACTCCTCAAACGACCCCTGATAGATCAGCACCCCATCACCTTTGATGGGACATGTAAACATCATGGAGTATGATAAACACCCCATAAAAACCACTGGAAGTCAGTGGTTAAGTATTTTTGCCAAGATAGCTGTTTAATGGCGCGATAAACTCCCGTACCAATGGCTCCACACACTAGCTCGCACCACGTTGCGTGCTGCTGCACGCACACCCCCGTGCTGTCCCCTGCGCTGCACTGTGTGGCTGCCGTGCAAGCAATGAGTTAATGTTAAGTTTATATTGTAATTATTTAGAGTCTCGAATATAAACAAAGTGAGCTATTGCATGATGGCCCATTTAGAGATATGAATCGAATTTTTTTGAGTTAAGAAGTATAAGGACAGCTGAAACATTGATTTCCTTATGTCTAAATGTCGGATAGAGTTAAAGGAACCCAAAGATGCTATTAAAAGAAAAGAAGAGACGGGTGCGCTTCATCAGTACAGTGCTTGAGTCTTTCTCATCTTGTGAAAGAAGTTGACTCATCATATTTGAAGAAAATTTGAAAATTAAAAATATTAAATTAACCCCCTTCTTGATTCTTATTATGACCTGCTTATGAACAAACAAAAGGCTCAATAAATATGATTTAGAAAATTGATTATTAGTAGGTTGATTTAGTTAAGTTAAAACGTCAATAGTTTTAGAGGAATGATTTTTAGTTTTTGATAGTCCATATAAAGCACAAGTAGAGAATGAAGGACTTCTTGATGATTAGGATAGGTTGCGTGGAGGCAAAAATCTCTCAACTATATGGATAGGATACGACATATACCGATATCGAGTAAAGTCACCGTTATAGATTACCCGTTAGATCTCCATCATTTATAAGACGTTCCTTAAAAAAAATCATAATATGAAATAACCCAAGACATAATCAACTACCGGCCTCCCGAATTTTTTTTTCCGGAACTCAACCCCGTACGGTGCAATCACGTGACTGATGCAGGGCAAATAAATCTGCCACATTTCCCAATAACTGGCGCTGACCAAAAAAAGTGTTTTCAATTTTGTCAACTCCGAGCGCGGGGACCACAGGCGCCTGCCTCCAACGGACCCCCCTTATCTCTGTCACATCCCCACTTATGTTATGTAGTCGCTCTCTCCTCCCCCACTTCATCTTCTATCTGTTTCTCTCTCTCTCTCTCGCTATCTGTCTGTCTCTATCTCTAGCATACTCATCGCCACGCCTTATAAAACGAGTCCATCGGAGACTGCTCCGGTGGCCATCACCGCGAGCCCTGTAAATGATTCAGATAGACCGGGAAGCTAAAGGGATCATTAGAAGAAAAGAGGAGACGCGTGTGGTTACTATTGTGGTACTAGAATCTTTCTCATATCGTGAAAAAAGTTGACTTATCATATTTGAACAAATTTTGAAAATAAAAAACGATTAAATTCATTCCCTTCTTGATTCTTCTTTTGGCACACTTATGAGCGAACAAATTATAAATTAAATATGAGATAGAAAAGGGAACAATAGAAGATTAATTTAATTAAGTTATAATATTTATAATAAATAATTTTATTATTAGATTTATTTGGGGAATGGTCATTAGTTTTTGATAGCCCATAAAAGGTACATGCAGAAAATCTGACCCGTTGACAAATATGATAATTTGTGTGGAGGCAAAACCCACTAAATGATATGGATAGGATGCAACATATACCAATATTGAATAAAGTCATCCAAATATATTACTCGTTAAATATCCATTATATAAAATATTTTTGAAAAAACGTAAAATGCATAATATATCAAATAACAATCACGACATCATCAACCATCGACCCCCTGTTTCTTCTTTGATGTCAATTCAAGATCATAGATCAGATGTGGCATCACGTGGCTTGATGCCTCGCAAATAAATCAGCCACAGTTCTTAATAAATGGAGTTGAAAATAACTATTTTCATTTTGTCAACTCCAAACGGGGGAACCAAACGCATCTACCTAACTGGCACTTTTTAAATGAACGCTGAAAGTCTGTTTCAGTGGCAGAAGCTATATATGTCATTATCTTATCCTAAACACTATCACTGGACACGGAGAATTATGACGACGAGGTGAAGTCATGAACGGATGAGCGAAGCTGATCGCGACAATGGACGGTTGTGACGGGACCGGATCGATCCGCGGAGGAAGGGGAGGATCTGGGACGTTGGGGGAATGCAGCAGTCCAACGATGTCCGAGCCCGCACAGTCTCCCGTTTCCAGCTAGGTAGTTGGGTTGCTTCTACGTCTCCGGCGAATCTCAATGGCCATTTAGATTAGTTAGTGGAGAGGGAGGCTGACGGGTCGAGCAGGACCCAGGCTCCCTTTCTCTCTCTCTCCCTCTGGGGGGTGGGGATTGGGGGTTGCTGACCATGCAAACAGTTTGGGGACAGCTGTACTGCCCAGCGACGCGCATTGTCTCTGTCATGCAGTCGCTCTCCTTCCCCCCCTACTCTTCTGTCTTTCCCTCTCCTCTCTCTCTCTCTCTCTCTCGCTACGTTATGTGAAGGGGGGAAACTGTGGGAATTGCCTAGGACCAGCATTGTCTCTGTCATGCAGGCGCTCTCTCCTTCCCCACTTCGTGTTCTTTCTCTCTAACATTCTAACACCCCTCTATATAAAATGAGTCCGTAGGTTTCATTGGGGGCTCTAAGTAGGTTTCAGAGGCAGAAAGAAGCCGGAGGCCATCCTCCGCTCATGGCGAAACCCCCGACCTGGGGAAGGAGGTTCCTTTGTGCCATGCTAGCGCTCGTCGGGATCACATTGTCCTGCATCCTATACAACACCGCCGGCATTGCCAGCTTCCTCCAGCTGTCCAACAGGAGCTTCCTAAATCTCAATTATGATGCGGTTCGGGCTCTCTCACTTAAGCTCTCACGTTCGAGTACTCCCATCCGAGCCTCGTGCTTCCCGAGCTTCGCTCCACGCGTTCGTCCATGGCCCTTGCTTTCTTAGCTTCATCTTCGGACATGGACGTTTCCGATTTCTGATCATAATCATCCACTGCTGGTCAGACATCATGTCTTGACCGTCGGAAACGTACTGGAATAGCCGGATTGAGCGAGCAATCATCTGCTAGGTGTTCCTCCAAGGCGATGCTGTCATCTGCGTTTTCATGGCGACGTTTTTTCCTTGTTTTACGGTGCCTATGGTTGATGTCAGCGTCTGTTTCTCGTGGTGACGGCCTTTTTATTCCACGCTCATGAATTATAGCGGGAAGTGCGGTATATATTTTAGCTCTTCGAACTCCTCCAACTTTTTCGTAACCAATTCCGTGCTACCGGAGCAGGTTAGCGACGAAATCAAGCTGAAGAATGTGCTCAAGGAAGCAGCCATGGTGGATAAAACTGTGATATTGACGACGCTGAATGAGGCATGGGCGGCTCCTGGTTCTGTTCTTGACCTCTTCCTGGAGAGCTTTCAGACAGGAGAGCGCACGGTAAGGCTCTTGGAGCACTTGGTGATCGTCGCTCTTGACGAGAAGGCGTACGAGATATGCAAGTCTAAGCATACCCACTGCTACGCTTTGAAGACCGAAGGAGTAGATTTCTCTCAAGAGAAGTTATTTATGACGGAGGATTACCTGAGGATGATGTGGAGAAGGATAGACTTTCTGAGAGTCGTCCTTGAGATGGGATATGACTTCATCTTTACGGTAACTTTATCTTTTCTGTTTCTACAGATTTATTTTTGTAAAGAACGTTGATGACCTACGATTTTGAACCTCGGATTATTTTGTTTATAAATCTGTTTCTCAAAAAATATTCGGTAGGTAAAGAGATCCAGGGCCTACCTTTCAGTAGAGCATGCATAATCGATTTCCACGAATATTCATACTAATCTATCTAAAGTTAGCCTCTAATACTTACCACAAAGAGTATAGCCTTAAGATTTCCTCTTTTCTTTTCTTTTTCTCTCTTCTCGGTGGCGTTCTTGGGCCCCTGCTCTGTTGTACCAAGACAGCCTTCAACGATTGGAACTGCTCTTTCAGAAACCCCTTGCCTGGGGATTTTGAACTGGCTTCGGATGATATATTTATAAAGATGATTAAAGGTAGAATTTTATTCTTATCGCACCATATTTTCCACCAGAGCTTAAAGGTGATCTAGTGTGATTTCCAGAATGGTTAAAGCTATAGTGATAGTGCATAAGATCAGATAAGTCCGGGTATCGGCCCTTTCCGATCTAGGTTAGGTTGAATTTGGACTCAATTCAGTCAGATTCCTCCTAGCACGGATTGAAGTAGCTACTGCAAATCACTATCCAGGCTGGCCCCTCATCCCAGTTTGCATAATATTGGCTTTCCCTTGTTTCATTACGGTGCTGATGCGCTAGCCTGATGAAGTCTTCAGTAACCACACATCAAACCTTTGTATTTAGCCTTTGTCTAATTTTTTTTTCCGCCATACTTCGCACCCACTGTTGTAAAATTGATCGTCTCGAATTCTTGTCAAGGAGTATGACCAAGGATCAGTTTGTGAGATTTTTCTGGGTATCCGACATAACTGACAGGTGAACGGTTTTCCATAAAATTTTACGGTCGATGAAGATCGGTTGTCTAGCCTGTGTATCTCAAAGTACTTCATGAAGCAGCCCAGTCCACCAAACTAGTGGGAATGAATTTATGGAGTGCAAGGATGCCACGTTTACTTCCCGGTGGAGCCCTTTCACGTAGCTATCCACACAATCTACTCTTTCCGTTGGAGCAAATTGGCAGGGGGAGAGGTCAACAGTGGGAAAAGAGGAACCCTAGAGATTTTCCCCTAGGAACCCAAAAGACGAAAGTGCAGATCGAGGAAAAAAGTAAAATATAGCAGAATAATTGAATCTGAAGCGGAACACTCAATAGTAGCTGTCATTTCCTCGAGTTCTACGGCCGGTTCTTCAGTCATGAATATTCTCCCACACGTCGGAAACGGCTCGGTCTTGAAATTTAATGCTGTGAGGCATTAAAGATGTGTGGCATAGTGTCTCTACTTAACTGCGCATCCCATATGTTAGGGAATAAAATTATTTCATTTCTTGGATCTATTAATCTAGCCCTAAATTTCTTCATAAATCTACATTTCCTTGCATCCGTTGTATCGAGCTTTGACCTTACTGATAACACGCACGCAGGCACGCACGCATTCATATAGATGCATATGTACGTTTTTTTGGTAGTGAAGTTCAACCTATTGCCGTTTAAAAACTGTGGGCAAACGTCGAGTTTTGGATGCAGAATACCCGAAAGATACATGGGTTCCATAGTTTTCGACTCTGGTCTCTATCTTTTATCCGCCCAAGTTCATATAAAAGTTGCTCTTTTCTTGCAGGACGCTGATATAATGTGGTTCCGAGACCCCATGCCGTTCTTCTACAAAGACGGCGACTTCCAGATCGCATGCGACCATTTCAACGGCAACCCCGACGACAGAACGAACTATATCAACGGAGGGTTCAAATATATAAAGTCCAACGAAAAAACAATAAAGTTCTACAAGTACTGGTACGAGAAAAGAGTGGAGCACCCGGGCGCTCACGACCAGGACGTGCTCAATTACATCAAGGGAGACCAAATCCTCCACGACATCGGGCTGAACTTGAAATATCTACCCACCGTCCACTTTGGGGGGATATGCGAACCCAGCAGCGATTTCAATCAGGTCTCCACCATGCACGCAAATTGTTGTATTGGATTGATAGATAAGTTGAACGATCTGAAGGTAATACTGAAGGACTGGAGGCAGTACAATACTCTGCCGCCCAGCGTGAATGGCCGTCATGAGCACAAGTGGAGAGTCCCGCAGCTCTGCAGGTAACCCAATTATTTGCAAAGCTTGTCCATTTTTTTGCTCATTCTGGTCTCTTTTAATCTTTTTTTTTTTTTTTTCAGTACTACGTCACACCATTGAGCTCCTGCATATCTTGATGCAAGGAGGCGAGGAGGCATGATAATGCATTAATAATGTGCTATAAACAGAGTTTATTGCATTGAATTCTGTCATCTCAGGGCACAAATTCATTGATTTATCAATGCTATCAGTGATAGTTTACAGCCTATTAAGGAACCAAGGGCCTTAGGTGGAGAATTATGAGCTTAAGGCTCATAACCACTTAAGGAGAAGGGGGGAAAGTGGGCTTAAATGGAGTTATTTTGGCGTCAGGCCCATAATCATTTAAAGTACATGACCCAAAGAGTGAAGAGGGAAATCAACTGTCCACTCAGTACAAAAGGAGAGTTGATCTAATGGTCGAGAGGCTTAATTATCAAGATGTACGTGAGATGGCTACGTGAATATTTAATTACGATCGGAGGGGTTAGAATTCAGCACGTGAATGTTGGAGAGAGAGAGAGCTAGAAAGAAATGGTCCCAAGCTCTATATCTTGTGATAAAAGGTGTGTTCATCTACTAATCTTCAGGTACCTCACCTTGAATGAGATTCTTTCCCACGGATAGCAGTGATCACCTCCTCCTAGCAGAAATAATGAAGGAAACATGGTGATAATCAGGTTGATTTTGAGGTGATCCATGATTTGGATGGTTTTAGATAAGAATTAGATCTTGATTAGTGTTAGAGTTCATCCTGTGATCCCTTTGATCACATGACTTCATTCACATTTTGCTCGATTTCATTTCACATTTAAAATCATCTTTTTCATCTCCCTACAATTATTTTATTCTTTTTCGTAATATCTCTTTAACTCCTATCAAATTTAATCAACAAATAAATAGATCTCAATTAACGATTCCTTGAGTAGACTACTTGACTTACCCAGACTAAGTTTGCATCAATCAGCACTCCAAATTTTAATCTACATCAATTTGATTGAGTAAGACGTAGGCCTAACAACACTAATCTTAATTCATCAAGTCACATTCTTTTCTTCTTCAAAGGTTAGCCATGCCTCTCATTTTTCACCCTAAATAAGAAATTGGCCTATGTTTTAAGAAATTCCATATGATTTGGTGCTTTTCTCCTGTGTTTCATCAAAAGGAAATATAGTAAGCAACTTCATGTTTTTTTTCTCAATTTTTTAATTTCTGATTGATCTCCACAAACTATAGTTGTGATTAAAGCTTAGATAGATGAAACTTAAATTTGTAAATTGGAAATTATCGTAAGTATATTTGATGAAATATTGGTGAATATCTAGGTCAATCACATGCACAACTAGAAATTTGAATTAATTATTACAACGGCATAATTGAGTAGAGTGAATAATAAGATACACTTAGACACATTTAGAAATCACGATGAAGGTATTTTCATACTGAAAATAAGGGGATAATCTACATTGGAAAATAAACCAATGGATTAATTTTTCGATAAACAATCCTTGAAGTAAGATTTCTAATTCAAGACTTAGAAATCTTTATCGAGGTATGCCAAGATTTAATTAATGGGTAATGATCCTCAAAAAATATAAAATGAGAGGAAATAATACAAAGAGGGTAGTATAAACCTTGATTCACTCATGGAGATATCATACATACATCCACAAGTGAAGGGAGAATGGTTGATCCTTGAGAGGATTGTTCTCTTGTTGATGTGATGGCCATCACCCACCACAACTTGAGCATGCTTTACATTGCATAATGGTGCTCATTAGGATGCGTTGAATCCCAATGGAGATAATCTTCTAATTGTACGTTGTTGGAGGATAGAAGAGAAGAGGGGAAATTCCACCATACTTTGTGGAGTAGAAAGGAGAGAAGTGTACTCTAGAGATATATTTTTCGAGTGAGGAGAATAAAGAGAATGAAGAGGAACAAATCTCTTGAATAAACTTGAATTGATCTAAGATGAAAACAATGAAAACTAGGAAAGATGTTCACTAGTCACACACTCTTGCTGGTTCTCTTTTGTTGAAATTTGGATAAAGGTAATTCATCTTGTCAAGAAGATAATTCCCCTTCTCCCTTCTGTCCACCTTTTCCCTCAAAGCCTCGTGGATGGTTGAGAGGCATTATGCCTCTTAAAAATCAGGTCAGCCATCCTCTCCTTTGTAACTGTTTTAATTTGTTACTCTCCCCTCTCCTTCTTCATTTTCTGCAATTAAGGTATGTTAAATAAGAGAATCTTTAAATAAAATTCACTTGAGATACTTGGAGAAAAATGCTATTACTTAATCTCATATAGTATAATATCTCACGAAGCATAAAATGTATCCCTCATTAATAACGAATAAATATAACTCTATAATGAATAAGATCCTCTTTGCTCAACCTTGAAATTTCTGAATATCAGCTAAATAGATCTAACAAAGTTTTCAAATATTGTTTACTGCTTTTTATATGTTCAAGACAAAATTTTCAACCAATAATCTATATGAAGCTTAATTTTTATGACATGCTGAGTTTATAACTCACATTTTTAAGCATAATTCGTGTCCAGTACATGAAAATTAATTAAATCATGATAGTGACATCATATATTCAATCCAGCACTTATGCTTACCAAAGATAATTAAAATATGCTTATATGATCCGAATTATGCAATATAAATGGAATATTATGACACCCCCAAACTTCATTTCTAGTCCCTTAGCAATGAATTAAATTAATGCATAACTTAGATTTATGCTCTATCAAATCGCCATGCAACTACATCCTTAAAGAAAGACTATAATGAGGAACTTGCCTCTGTTGAGAACTTATAAATTTCAAAAGTATAGATTAAAAATGGGTTCAGGAGGAAACCAAAGTACCTCCTTATATTAATAGACCCCACTGCAATTGATGACCTAGGCAAACACTCTTAGTGAAGCAAATACTATCAACTTAAGGACAAAAATAAGTATTTTACAACCGGAAAGAAATTCTCTAGTTTGTATCCAAACTTTGAACTTATAGAAAGAAGGTAATCTCCACTTCCTAGAAGATATAAGCTTATTGATAAAGGAGAGAAAATATGCGATATACTTCAAATGAAATTGACCCTATTTTTTCTCATTAGTACTTTTGTACTATATATATTTTTGTCTTTTTTTGTTTTTTAAGGGTTTTGAGAATGAGTTTGAGAGAGATAATCATAGAAGACATGAGATAGAAGATGGAATATGTCTTTAACTATAGATTTAGAGAACTTCTAGCTATGAATTCACCATCTGAATTTCAAAGAGTAAATTCAATTTAGCACTGAAATAAATACTTTTAATCACTAAGTAGGCAGGGTAAGTACTAGTTCAAAGATGATGCTAGGAGTGCTTGATCCATAGAGCCCACTAATATGTCAGTTTGACCAAGCAGGAATGCCTAACATCAACCTCCCACTTAAGTCCTATAGTCCTAACAGGTATGACTTCCGCCAATTCTTACTTCCTCTAATGAATATAGGCATAAAACTTAAGTGGAGATGAAGACATCTGATTAAGACTGCATGAGTTTTCAACATATATGGAATATGGTTCGAAATATGTTTAGGAGAAAGCATGCATATTGTATGCAATATATATTTTTCATCTTCTCTCTTAGCTCCACCCCCCAAATTGAATATAGCATTGACCCTAATGCAAATAAATTGGAGGATAATAATAAAAACATGTTTAGACTTGAAACTGAGAAAGTCAAGACAATAAGAAGTTAAATTTAGTGTGACCCACCAACTTACCTCATTGCTATCATTGATGACATGATATATAAGAATAGAAAAATATATAATGCACATAAAATGCAATGAGAGAGATTTAAAACTCTAGAATGGACAGAATAAGAAACTTGGAAGAATAGTACATGATGTACTTATGTTCTTTGTCATTCATCATGATTTTATAATTAGGCTCTATTAGACCCATTGTGTCCATGATCTGGAGCTCACTGTGTCACCATAATTAAAAAGAAACATACAAACAAACAAAGATAACAAAGAAACAAATAACAAAGATGAAAGAAAGGATATGGTTGGGTTGCCACCTAACAAGCTTGATTTTATGTCTCGAGCTAGACAAAACAATCTTCTATCCATGTATAGGTCCTGAAAGAGTTATCCTCTCTCCCTCTTCCAAGCGATTCCATTTCCAAATATGATTTTAACCATTGACCATTAACTACAAACTCTTTACTGTCCAAGGGATTTTTCAAAAGGACAACACCATTTTTAAATACATTTACCAAAAAATATGGACCAGACCATTTGTATTTTAATTTTTCAGGAAAAAAGTTTAAGTCGTGACTCAAACAACCATACCATTTGCTTGGGATATTTTTTTTCTCAAAATACAATGATCATGGAAATCTTTGGTCTTAGCTATGTATATGTTGTTGTTCTCATAAGCATCTTTTCTAATTTCGTCAAGTTCTTCAACCTACAATAAATACTTTTTCCTTGCTTGAAGTAAATCATAATTAACTTATTTAATTACTCATAAGACTTAGTGTTCTAGCTCTTTGGAAGATGACTAGCTTTTCTTAATACCAGCTTAAAAGATGAAGTACCTATAGGTGTTTTAAATGCTGTTATGTGAGCCCAAAGTGCTTCATCAAGTCGAGATGGCCAATCTTTTTTATCCACTCTAACTACTTTCCTCAAAATTTTACATCACAAGATGATCATTGATGTGCACTTGTCGTTGTGTTTAAATACACATTATCTAATAATATTTATAACTAAGACTTAATAGAATATTAATATAGAAGTAAGTTTCAAGTTGAACACAAGGGGATTGATTAATCTATTGTGAAATAGAATAAAGGAAGGAAAATAGAGAAAAGAAGCAGGAAAAGAGAGAGAGAAGAAAGAACTCTCACAAAAGACACAAGAGATCTCTTGTGGAAGAGAGAGAAAGACAAAGGAAAAAATCTCACATGAGATAGAGAG